TCTCAAATTTAATATCTCTAATCAACTTGCAGCCTTTTTCTATGTGTGTGACTATGCTGTTGTTTTTGTTTTTTTAATCCAGCTGATTTTTGTATCATTACTTGTTAAATAACATATTGTTTCCCCTCCAAATTCTATATGCTTCCTTCATCTTACTTTGAAATGTCAATGTGTAGATAATTTCTATCACAGTGATCTAGTTTGGTATCAGAACTACACTTTCTTGTCCTATATTTTATTGTGCTGCATAGTAAAACAATATTTCAGGAAAAAAATAAAAATTTCTTGGCATCAGTTTTCATACTTTCATTTGACATCATTGTAACACTGACATTTGTCCTTTGAAACCGCACCTCTTCATTTGTCACATTTTTTTTCTGATCGTTGTTGAATGGTTCGGATATATCCTGTGTGTTTCTCACTAATTTTATAGTCAGGCACCCAATGGTTTCCTTTGCAAGTGAAAATGGGATCTTACTATTAATTGCAACTTCATTTGTTAATATAGATGTATTTCTTATCTAATTTCAACCTTAGATCTTTACATTGTTTTTAAAACCCCATTTAGTTTATTTTTATACCATAGTGCATTTAACTATGTTCTTAAAAGGTTTTAAAAATGTTGTGGATTTAATAAATACCTGGGGATGCAAAGTAAGGTGCATAGGGAAGTAAGAGGCGCATCTGGGAGGAGTTGTGAAGTTGTGGGAATATGGACAGAACACATTGCATGAAATTCTCAAAGGACTAATAAAATGAGAAAAATATTGTAATATCCACATTTTGCTGACAAGTTCAATGTGCCAAAGGCTGTCTGTTTTCACTCTAAACAAGAATTTTCTTCAGAACCTTTTGTTTTCTGTTTTTAAGTTTGTTTTGCAAGTATAGAACTAGAGTCTGACTCCAAATCCTTACTACACTTATCTCCTGTCGCGGTGGGAAATGTCAACACAAACTCTGGAGAACAGCACCCTAGCTCCCGTGTTCTCCTGTGCTAGAAGGTTCTGGGCCATCTCATCAGTCATTAGAAGCATTCAGAATGCCTTTTCTATTCCAAGGTAGTAAACTTCATTACTCAACAGATGCTTGGGTGAACTGTGTAGGTTTTGCCAAGTGTCGCAAGACTGTATTGAGATAAATTCCTTCCTAGATTGTGACACCAAGAAGGGATCCCAGAGGAGGAGTGGGCTGGGAGAAGAGCCTTGCTTGTTTAATGTGAGGGTAAGTCACCTTACATGTCTGGAACTCAAGTGGTCCATAGTGTGGAGCTGTAATTAAGTTTATAATTATAATTAATTGTTAGCACATGACAAAGCCAAATACCAATCAATGAAAGATAGATAGTTAGATAACTAGATAGATAGATGATAGGTAGATAGATAGTAGATGGATGGATGGATGGATAGATAGATAAATGGATGATAGATATATGATAGATGGGTGGATGGATATATAGGTAGATAGAAGATAGATAGACAGATGATAGATGAATGGATGATAGGTAGGTAGATATATAGAAAGAAAGACACACATACATACATACAGATAGATAGATAGATAGATAGATAGATAGATAGATAGATAAATAGAATGAGTAGGAAAAAAGAATCCTTGAACAGGGACTCTAACGACTATTAGTGTTTACCAATAAAGAACCTTAAAGGAGCAAATTCATTGGAGGAAAAAGAGGGAAAACATTTGGAAAAGCCCGAGGAAGATGTATTTGAAGAAGAACGGAGTGTGAGCTTCGGGACTGGCTACCTCTGAAGGGCCATGGGTAGAAAGGCAGGAACTGCCAATCTAAATTAACAGTCTGAGGGCACATATTCATGTGTTTAGCAAGCACCATGGTTTTCCTTAGCAAAATATTTGTGGTTGTGTGAGTTGTAGAATGAGGCACCTCCTCGCCCCAAATCCTACCCTACCACACACCTTGAAGATCATTCTTTTTTTCTTGAAGGACTGATGGATAAACTGATATTTTTTCAGATTTGGAGCATTTGGCAGACATTTTCTTGAGAATTAGCAAAATGAACTTCAAAGTTTCTACTGGAAGCCTAAGTACTTCTTTTGCCAATGATAAAATTTGAGCTTTCAGAGAAAAAAAAAAGTTCACAAAACTTGTACCTACCAGCACAATAGTGATAGTTTGCCAGCAGTGAGAGCTTTCTGATGACAGATTTGAGGTGCTGCTAACAGATGTGGTTGCTGGAAGCTATGTGATAGATGCTGTGAACACTTAGAAGCTAGGCATAATTCAGAGTGCGTTTTTTTTTTTTTTTTCAGTTATGCCTGGATAAAACTCCACTGACAATCTGGATTTTAATGTATCTGTCTAGCACAGAACTCACCAACGTGGTTGTAGTTTCATGCTGAAACTAACACTAAAAGTTGAAAGAACTTTTAAGTTTTAAATTAAGTTTTAATATTATATTAATGAAGAACTGTCATCATTTGAAAAGGCTATAGACTATTACATAACACTATATGACCATTTTTTTTTCTCTTGTATTTCATCCGAGACAGCATGTGCATGGCATGATTTTGAGTGCAGAGGTGGGAGTGAGAACACAGCTGGCCTCAATTAGGCTGGGTGTTGAAGAAGAGTGCGAAACTACTCTGCCACTGTTCTGATGGTTTCCTTTGAGGGGACACGTGGCTATTATTTTTTTAAAGTATGCTGTTACGTTGGCCTGTTATGAATCTGTTAGAAAACCACTGAACCAATGTTTTAAAATTCTCAACTTTAACGTGGAAACTATTACCCAATAAAAGAGTATTTGCTGTCCCAAGATGTCGGGAAAGTGTGAAATGTCCTGTGGCCCGCACTTGAGTTTGGAGGTGGTGCAGTACCCAGAGGAAGTGCAAGAAGGCAGACAACGTGTGTGACTGGGTGTGGCCAATTCTGTGCCCCAGTCTCTCTCCGCTCTGTTTTGTGGACTGAGTGTATTTCATGTCTAAGTATACACAGACATAGAGTATACCTTCGGTCATCTTTACGACTGAGCCAATAGACAAATATATTTTCCTCAAGTTATTATCCTTTCGTTTTTTGAAATTCTCATTCGATTCATTGTATTAAGTTATGTTTATTGCCTTATTTTTTTTTTTTTTCCAGAATGGAAAAAACATCAGGTGGGTTTGTGATCTAAGGATTAATATACGTAGCGTTTTATTAATTCTTTGAAGATTCCATGCACATATATAATGTATTCTGATTATATCCACTTTCTACTCCTCTTCCGACTCCTCTGAGATCCCCCAACCCCTCAACTTCATACCCGTCCACATATTCCTGAGTGTGGAACCATCCATTGAAACATGGTTTACGTACTAGGGACCACACCCTTAAAGAAAACTGACTCTTCCCTTCCAACAGGCTTCAACTGTCCATGGCTCCTCAAGGAGGGGTAGGCAATTGTGAGTCCATTTTCCCCCTCAGTGCCGGAATGTTGGCTGGTTACACCTTGTGCAGGTCTTACGCTGGCATAAACAACTTCTGTGCATTTGTCGAAACATTTTTTTTTTTATTGTTAAGTTTCAATTTTTGTTTTAATTATACGAATGGATCTGTATGTAGATATATTCATATGAGTTCTAAGTATCCGCGGAGTCTGACTCCTCCGAAGCTGGGTTTATAGGTGGTTGTAGGAGCCAGCAACAGAACTGGCATCCTCTGCAAAAGCTGTATGCATGCTGAAGTACTGACCCATCTTTCCAGCCCGTGTCAAGGCACTTTTTAATGATACTTCCTTCAAAGTGTATAACAGATAATTAAAAAGTATCGTTCATCTCAGTGTTGGTATTCGTTACTGGCCTTTGCTAGTTGTGAGTATAATGGGTGATTAAAAAAAAAAAAGCATATCCCAGATATTGGTGTTTGTTGAACGTCTCTTACTAGTTTTAAGACTATGGGATTATTATTAAGATTTTTTTTTTTTATCTAGAATATTTGTTTTAAATGTTCATCCCCTTGTTACATGTCTGGTCCCTTTCTGTGGGCTTAGTGTCATGACAGTTTGCTTTCATGACCCTCAACAATATTACACACTCGGCTTTGTGTTTCTGGCACTTCTATGCCTTCAGTGAGGGGCATAAAAGTACACTCTTCGGAGGGACCACCTATGTCATCCCATGAGACTGGTGATGCTTGTGGGTAGAGGACACAGAGACACAGGCTTCCATGTGTAGTTGGGAGCAGATTTTGTACACCTGGGACCTTACTGTTTCTCTTTCTGGATGGATGGGATGGGTTGTGCTCCATTGATCAGCCTCAGTGAAAAGTGCTAGGGATCCTAGCTGTGTGTTTCCCAGTCCGGCCAGCACCAGGCCTGTGGTAGTTTGCAGTGTGATTAAATATACTGTAACAGCTCAGGGCTCCCGGTGTGGATGTGTTGTGGGCTGATCACATGACACCAACCCTCAGGAAGCTGAGAAGGCACAGGAAGTGGGACTCAGGTGTCCCGCCCCTCAGTGATCCACTTCTACCCAGGAGGGCTTTAACTCCTAAAGCTTCCATGACCTTCTTAAACAGCACCACCAGCTGAGGACCAAGTGCTCATGTTTGTGAGCCGATGGGGGATAATTGGTATTCAAAGCACAGTACCAAACACGATTGAGGAGCAGATTTCAGACCCGCAGCATCCCAGCACTTCTGAGGCAGATACTGGCAAACCACTGATGGTCGTCGGAAAGCAAGCTTAGCCCAATGTTTGAGCTTCAGAGACCCGGAATCAGCGAGTGATAGACAAAGACACCTGGCGTTGACCTCTGGCCTTCTCGTGTGCTCACGCGAGTGTGTGCACACTCTCTTTTGCATGTTTATATAGCCATATGAACTTGTGCATCTACTACACACAAATGCAGACACAAACCACAATCAGCAACAATTACACATCCAAAAAGTAAAAGTGGAAAAAAAAAAAAAAAACAACTCAGATTTCGTTAACCTTGTCCCAGGTTTTCTTAAGCACATTATAGCATTTTTGTTTCTTTTATAGGAATTATGCTGGAATATGAAAAAGGTGGAGAATTAAAGACCAAATCTATAGATTTGCTTGAGCTCAGTCCTAGGTAAGTTTGCTACATAATGCAGCATGCGCTTCATATCCGAACCTTTTAGAGGAACACTCGATGAGGATGTATGGCTGGGTTGAATAACCTTACTATTAAAAACACAAAGGTCATAAGGTCATTACTCTGCTCCCCTGCCCCCCCCTTTTTTTTTCTGAGCAGGGCTATTTTAGAATATGATCTGGTTGGTTTAGAATAGTTTCAGGAAAAGTATTGAAGAGAGAGTGTCTAGGCTTTTCTCTCTAGGTAGCATTGTCACAGCTGGCATACCAGTATCGATGCCTTATCCTAAGTGACCATTGTGTGCTCAGGCTTTCTGAGGTTTGCCCTATCTCCCCTCTGAGCTCCAGGACCCTAGCTGGGATCCTGCAGGTCATTCAGTCTTCATGTCTCTTTAGTTCTTCTCGGCCATACAGGTTTCTCAGGCTTTCCTTTTGTTGGTAGCCTTAACACTTCTGAGGAGCACTGGCTACTGAGTTTAAAAGGTACAATCGAGCCTGATGTTCCTTCAGTAAAGACGTATCTCACAAGGCCTACGGACTGTCAGGGTGTGGGCAGAGGCTTGGAGCCGGAGCTCCTCCACTGAGGCTCCTTGTGAGCCCAGAGGAACTCTCCATAGATTAGAATACTGGGATTCACCCTGTAGGAAATCCCATCCAAATCTCCCCTTGCACAGGCAAAGCCAGCATGTCACAGACCAGTAACATACCTAATTAAAAAAAAAAAAATCACAAGTTTTGGTTGGTCTGGGACTCCGTTCTCCCTGAAAATAAGTCTCCCTGTTCTGCCTCCCACCTCCTGAGAGGAGCACAGGGATTACTGGAGGAAGGGAAGGAAAGCTCACAGGCATGCAGGAAAGAAGGAAGAAAGGAAAGAAGGAAGGGAGGGTTGTGGATAACTTACATTTTGATTTCCAAAACAAATTGAATTACTTTATGCAACAGAAAAAAACACAATATAATGCTGCTCATTAAAGCAAGTACCCCATCTTTCCATTATATGCCTAGGAGTGGTATAGCTGGATCCTGAAGTAGCACTATTACTAATTTTCTGAGAAAACACCAGATTGACTGCCAAAGTGGTTGTACAAGTTTACATTCCCATCAGCAATGGAGGAGGGTTCCCCTTTCTCCACATCCTCTCCAGCATGTGCTGTCACTTGAGTTTTTGATCTTAGCCATTCTGATGGATGTAAGATGGAATCTCAGAGCAGTTTTGATTTGCATTTCCCTGATGACTAAGGACATTGAGCATCTCTTTAAGTGTTTCTTCTCCATTTGATATTCCTCTGTTGAGAATTCTCTGTTTAGCTCTATACCCCATTTTTAATTGGGTTATTTGGTTTGTTGGTGTTTAATTTCTTGATATATATTTGTATATTATCCCTCTGTCGAATGTAGGGTTGGTGAAAATCCTTTCCCAGTCTGTAGGCTGTCATTTTGTCCTGATGACAGTGTCTTTTGCTTTACAGAAGCTTTTCAGTTTCATGAGGTCCCATTTATTAATTGTTGATCTTAGAGCCTGAGCTGTTGGTGTTCTGTTCAGGAAGTTGTCTCCTGTGCCAGTGAGGTCAAGGCTCTTTCCCAATTTTATTTCTAACAGTCTTAGTGTGTCTGGTTTTATGTTGAGGTCTTTGATCCACCTGGACTTTAGTTTAGTGCATGGTGATAAGTATGGATCTATTTTCATTTTTCTACATGTAGATATCCAGTTAGATCAGCACTATTTGTTGAAGATGCTCTCTTTTTTCCTTTGTATACTTTTGATTTCTTTGTCAAAAATCAAGTATTTGTAAGTGTGTGGGTTTATTTCTGCGTCTTCAATTTGATTCTGTTGATTTACCAGTCTGTTTCTATGCCAACACCATGTGGTTTTTATTACTGTTGCTCTACAGTATAGTTTGAGATCAGGGATGGAAATACCTCCAGAAGATATTTCATTGTACAATATTGTTTTTAGTTATTCTGGGTTTTTTTCTTTTTCCATATGAATCTGAGAATTGTTTTCTCAAAGTCTGTAAAGAATTGTGTTGGTATTTTGGTGGGAGTTGTGTTAAATCTGTAGATTGCTTTTGGCAGGATGGCCATTTTTACTGTGTTAATTTTAACAGTACATAAGCATGGGAGATATTTCATATTCTGATATCCTTCCATCTTCTGGGGTGAATTTCAGTACTGACGTCAACACTCTAGTAGGAGAAATCCAGAAAGCAGAGCCTCTGATCACAGAGTCTCGGACAGAGCAAGTCAGACTCCTCGTGCAGCGACTGCAGGAGAAACTCAGGCAGCACTGCGACCACAGTTTCTACCTGTTTAAGGTAAGGCGTGCTTAGGGGCGTGGGGACCACAACTGCTGGCTAGCACACACACACACACACACACACACACACACACATACACACACACACACATACACATACACACACACATACATACACACATACACATATACACATGTATACATACACACACACATACACACACACACACATACACACACATACACATACATACACACACATACACACACATATACACATACACATATACACACACACATACACACACATACACACACACACATACATACACACACACATACATACACACATACACACACACACATACACACACACATACACACACACACACACACACA